CAACATTGACTTGAAACCGAAACACCTAGGTTAAAAAGCCAACTGTGATTTTGAGGAAAGTTAGATTCCTCCTCTTTTCCTCAGAGTCCCACACACAGTAACAAAGATGATAATAATGTCCATGAGGGTTGTTGTGAACACAGAGTTCATCCATTTAGTGGGTTTTCGACCATAAGTACATTGTCAGCATTACACATTACTGATATGAATTTTGCTGTTATTTTTGATAACAACAAATTTGTTTAAGAAAGAGAACATAGTTTAAACAAATGGTTGAAATTTATCTACATTTTATGCTGTGTGAGTAATTAATAACAATAACAGAAGCAGAGCTAAATAATCTCCGTGATGTACAGTTGGTAATGAGGAATGATAATTTACCAAAACTGATCCAACATTTTGTGAAAATACTGTCTCTTTAATACATCAAACTCATGCATTAATGCCCATTAATATTATGCATTTCATGTAAAAAATATACCTAAATTGAAGAAAGATTAAAAAACTTATAAAAACTAAGCCAGATCTTTTCTATCAAATAAGTGAAATGCTCTGTAAATTCTTTTATTTTTTAAATATTGACATTTTACATCCTTTCCAAGATTACAAATATCTCTTGTAAAAACATAGCCCATATTATGAAATGTAGCTTTTATTCTCACTTTACAATGTCTATGCCTGTATTGGTATGTAATAATGGGCTTCACTTTGTTATACATAAATATGTAAACATTTCTTTCTTAATTAATTTTATTTAGTTATTTTTCAAGTACAGTTTTTTGTCTATTTTTCCCATCCCAGCCTTCCCTGCCCCTTGCTCCCCACCTCCCTCCCATTTCCACCCCCCTTAGTTCTTGTCCCTGTGTCCTTCCTATTTGTCCCTCCAAATCCCTCCCCCCTTCTTCCCCTTAAATTCCCTTCTCTCCCCTCTCTGGTCACTATCCCCTTGTTCTCTATTTCAGTGTCTTTGTTTTTTTTTCTGCTTGCTTGTTTGTTTTGTTGTTTAGCTTCCTGTTAAAGGTGAGATCATATGGTATTTGTCTTTCAGCACCTGGCCTATTTCACTCAGCATAATGCTTTCCAGTTCCATCCATGTTGTTGCAAAGGGTAGTAGCTCCTTCTTTCTCTCTGCTGCATAGAATTCCATTGTGTATATGTACCACAATTTTTTGATCCATTCATTTACTGATGGGCACCTAGGTTGCTTCCAACTCTTGGCTATTGTAAATTGTGCTGCTGTGAACATTGTGGTGCATAGGTTCTTTGACATCGATGTTTTAGGACTCTTAGGATATAATCCCAGCAGTGGAATTGCTGGGTCAAAAGGCAGGTCAATTTTTATTTTTCTGAGAAAATTCCATACTGTTTTCCATAATGGTTGTACCAGTCTGCAATCCCACCAACAGTGAACTAAGGACCCCTTTTACCCACAACCTCTCCAACATTTGTTGTTTGTTGCTTTGTTTATGATAGCCATCCTGACTGGTGTAAAGTGGTATCTCATTGTGGTTTTAATTTGCATCTCTCTGATAGCTAATGATATTGAGCATCTCTTCATGTGTCTCTGAATGTTCTGTATGTCCTCCTTGGAGAATTGTTTGTTCAAGTCCTTTTCCCATTTTTTAATTGGGTTGGGTGTCTTCCTAGAGTGGAGTCGGTGTAAGTTCTTTGTATATTTTGGAGATTAAACCTTTGTCTGAGGTATCATTGGCAAATATGTTTTCCCATACAGTTGGTTGTCTTGCTAATTTAATACTGTTTTCTTTAGCCACACAGAAGCTTTTTATTTTGATGAGATCCCATTTGTTTATTCTTTCCTTACATTCCTTGCTCTAGGGGACATATCAGTAAAAAAGTTGCTGCTTGAAATATTTGAGATTTTCTTGCCAGTGTTCTCCTCTAGGACTTTAATGGTGTCATGACTTACATTTAAGTCTTTTATCCACCTTGAATTTATTTTGGTGTATGGTGTAAGTCTGTGCTCAAGTTTCATTTTTTTGCATGTAGCTGTCCAGTTCTCCCAACACCATTTGTCGAAGAGGCTATCTTTACTCCATTTTATGTTACTGCCCCCTTTGTCGAATATTAATTGACTGTAGAGAGTTGGGTTGATTTCTGGGCTCTCTGTTCTGTTCCATTGGTCTATGTGCCTGTTTTTATGCTGGTACCAGGCTGTTTTGATTATAGTGGCCTTGTAATACAGTTTGATATCAGGTATTGTGATCCCCCCTACTTTGTTCTTCTTTCTCAAAAGAGCAGCTGCTATTTGGGCTCGTTTATGGTTCCATATAAATTTTCAAAGTGTTTGTTCTATGTCTATGAAATATGCCATTGGTGCTCTAATAGGTATTGCATTGAATCTGTAAATTGCTTTGGGTAGTATAGACATTTTGATGATGTTAATTCTTCCAATCCATGAACAAGGTATATGTTTCCATTTGTTTGTGTCTTCCTTGATTTCATTCTTCAGGGCTGTGTAGTTTTCTGCATACAGGTTTTTTACCTCCTTAGTCAGGTTTATTCCCAGATATTTTATTTTTCTTTTTGCTATGTGGAATGGGTTTTTTTCCTTGATTTCTGCTTCTGCTGATTCATTGTTGGTATACAAAAATGCCTTTGATTTCTGGATATTGACTTTGTAACCTGATGTTTTGCCAAACTCATTAATTAGTTTGAGCAGTTTTTGGGTAGAGTCTATAGGATTTTCCATGTACACTATCATGTCATCTGCAAACAGTGACAGTTTTGTTTCCTCCTTTCCTATTTGGATGCCTTTTATTTCCTTTTCCTGCCTGATCGCTGTGGCCAAAACTTCCAAAACTATATTGAATAGAAGTCGTGAAAGTGGACAACCTTGTCTTGTTCCTGATCTTAGTGGAAAAGCTTTTAGTTTTTTCTCATTGAGTATGATATTGGCTGTAGGTCTGCCATATATGGCCTTTATTATTTTGAGAAATGCTCCCTGTATTACCACTTTGCTGAGTGTTTTTATCATAAATGGGTGTTGTACCTTATCGAAAGCTTTTTCCGCATCTATTGATATGGTCATGTGATTTTTGTCTTTGCTTTTGTTTATGTGATGTATTACATTTACTGATTTGCGAATATTGAACCATCCTTGCATCCCTGGGATGAATCCCACTTGGTCATGGTGTATGATCTTTTTGATATATTGTTGGATGCGATTTGCCAATATTTTGTTTAGGACTTTAGCATCTATGTTCATCAGCGATATTGGCCTGAAGTTTTCTTTCTTTGTTGTGTCTCTATCTGGTTTTGGAATTTGGAATATGTAAACATTTCTTAAGCATCAGTAATGTGATAAGGTTTTGAATGAATTCTTTATGAGAATCCAGATAGAATTTGTAAGAATCCAGATAGTTTTTTCATATAAGAAGCCAGATAGATATCTAAAGCAACACTGATATTATGAATCTTCAGTCGTACTGCACATGAGGAATTTAACATAAATCAGTCATAGAAAGGGACTTGCAGAATGAACATGCTATTTGCATTTCCATACTCCTGGGTTTTAATCTGACCTCTTCATTCCCCTAGATGTATTTTAATGATCTGGGGTAGCTTATCCATCTGTAAAACTTGTAAAGTTTTATGGTAAGTTAAAAATACATTTATTATGCTGTGTTTGTTTAATTATTTCTAGTCTTCTTCAACAAGGACAGGGATGAAGATGGTGCATCATATGCAGGGGCTAAAACTGGAAATGGAATTTTGGTGCTACAGGACCAAAAGCTTATGTATCCTCTCTTCCTTTTTATCACTAGCAAGTAATTTTAACATGTGTCTGAAATTTCCATATTCTATCTCTTCTACTTCCTTACATCTGTTACCTTAATTTTTATTTATAAAAAGTCCTCTCTCTTTCATTCTCCTTGTAACTCATTTATTTTTAGGAAGAATCTTTTTAGGAGGGTTATTTACATATATAGGTGATTCTACCCCCTCAAAAATATAAGGCATATTATATTAATCATGCTATTACAGTTATCCCATTTTTCCCTCTCCTACTTTTCTCTACCCAGTACCCTCTTCCCTCTATCATTCCTCCCTTAGTTCATGTCCATGAATCATACATATAAGTTCTTTGGCCTCTCCATTTTCAAGGTTAGTCTTTGCTTAACCTCCCCTTGTGTATTTTGTACCTACCAATTATGCTTCTTGTTCCCTGTATCCTTTCCTCCATTTTCCTCCCTCTCCCTCCCTACTGATAACCCTCCATGTGATTTCCATTTCTGTGATTCTGTTCCTGTTCTAGTTGTTTGCTTAGTTTTGTTTTGTTTTTGTTTTTATTTTAGATTAGGTTGCTGATAGTTGTGAGTTTGTTGTCATTTTACTGTTCATAGTTTTGATCTTCTTCTTTTTCTTAGGTAAGTCCCCTTAACATTCCATATAATAATGGCTTGTTGATGATGAGCTCCTTTAACTTGACCTTATCTGGGAAGTGCTTTATCTGCCCTTCTATTCTAAATGACAGCTTTGCTGGATAGAGTATTCTTGGATGTAGGCCCTTGCTTTTTGTGGTTTAGAATACTTCTTTCCTGCTGCTTCTTACCTGTAAGTTTTCTTTCAAGATGTCAGCTCACAATACAGTTTTAATTAGACAAACACAACATAAAAAGACATGATTTCTGCAGTGAAAAATACCACTATTGCTGATTGGTCCTATGAGCTAACCCTGGTAATGATGGCTACACTTGTGATCAACTAACAGCTGAATGGTTGACCTTACTTTGATGGTATTTCAGGGACAAACACAGGTGCAGTGCACTACTGGGGCTCTGAGCGTGAAACATAGATACTTCACTTACTCATCTTCTTCTTATTTGTATTCGACACAATACTTCAGAGTTTCCCATAAAAAACAGTTGTTCAAATTCCAAGTAAAAGTTGATTTTAAAAAATTGTAATACCATTTTTTAATAAAACAACAACTGATCAAATTTTACAGTCATCTTTTTCTCTTTTTATGTTGTTAACAGGTAATACATTATTAACCAGCAAAGTCAACATATTGATTAATGTCCTAGATGTCAATGAATTTCCACCAGAAATAGCTGTGCCATATGAGACATCTGTGTGTGAAAATGCCAAACCTGGACAGGTATTTTATTAATATTGTTAATTAAGAGTATATAAAGACTGATTATATGCATGCGCTTTAGGTTTTCAGACCATACACTTTAGTAAACTCTTAAAACTTAATGGTTCATGTGTACATGTGTAGCTAGTACCACGAAGGATAGAGTTATGGTGGTGTAGTAAACCTTCTCTGTATAACTCAGAGGTCCATGTTTTGCAGATTCTGCCATGCTTGCCTTTCCTTTTCTGTACGTTTTAAAGAGCTTGTGACTATAAACCCATAAGCAAACAACTGCAGAGTGCATCCTTCTATAGCTTTTTCGCTTTGCTCATGTGCTTTTGTGAAGTGAACGAGTACTGAAAATCACTTAAGCTCATGAAATCCGGAAAACCTCCTTCCCTGGTGACTTGGAGAAGGTTATCTGGATTATTCAAAATATCAGAAAATATTTTCTTATTAAGTTAATACTGCTCTAACTTACTAGGAGAGTTTTTAGTGGGGAGATGTCATGACAGAAGGCCACATAGTTAATGAAAGTTACTGTCAACGTCCTAGGATTTATGTGGGGTGGTGGCCAGTAGCTATTTTTCTCCACCCTTTATAAATGAACAAGTGAGTGGATAAATGAATAAAATAAAAATAAAAGATACCAGGCATAAGCAAATAAGGAGTGTTTTATTGAGAAATGATTAAACCAACATGTATGCCTATGTTCTAAAAGAAAAAAATGTTGATATCTTTTCATTTGCTATATATTTCAAGCAACTTTAAATAGTAAAACTGCCTCTTTAAGTAAATATGAAAAGTTTTCTTACCCCACAAAAGTCTTAATATTGAAATAGCATCTTTATTGGGAAAAGTAATTCTTTAATCTATAGTATTTGTTTCAATTTGAATGTCCTCCATGCTTCATGGGTCATTTGTCTCATAGTTTTAATCACGTGATGCCCATTACCCATAGGGCTGTTAAATTAAAATTGAATTTAAAAAATCAATGTTCTGAATTACACTCTTCCTATTTCAAGTACTTGCTGGCTGTAAGTGGTGAAAATGGCTTCCGTTTCCATCAGTGCAGATAGAGAACATCCCTTTAGCACAGAAGCTTGGAGTGGACTGTGCTGTTGGAATCCTTCTGTTGATAATTGGTCAGTTTGAATTTTATTCAAGCATGACTAGTGTGGTCATATTTTCCCAAGTGACAAATCTGAATCCTTGATTGTAAATAGGCACTTAAACCAAGCTGGAACCTGTTATCAGCTTAAATATACCCACAATTTACATAGGATGAGCCCAGTGTCTGTTTTAGTATCTAAAGAAATAGATGCTGCATAAATATTTATACAAACATGTAACTTAAGTTAGTTTTGTTGGGAAGTTATATGAAATTTTTACAATTTAGCTATTTTCTACTTTCAACAAACCTCTATCCCCATCATCAAACATCAATCTTTTATTTTTAGGTAATTAGGGGCATTAATTATTTCATATTGATTACAATTTCATATTACACTAAACAAAAGCCTTTTGGGAATAGAATTCTATGTAAGACATCTTTGTTTTACTATTAAAAAGAGTTTTAAAAGTTGGGAATGATATAAATTAATAGTATTAACTTCATTTTCTTATTATATCTGGAAAAATCAGTGAGAGGTCCTTGGAGGCTTTTTGCTGACACCTATCTGTGGGCCTTTGTGTACTATTTGGCCACATTTGTGTAGAGAGCATAACCCTGAAATGAGTCTTGAGTTTTCAGAGAGTGTAGAATGTGAGCATTTTCTGCTTTTGACCCAGCTATTCAGCCCCTTACCTAGGAACTACACATAGGAGCTATTTGTATTTTCTGGACTACAGTTGAATGTATACATATGTGTACGTATGTATACTAAATCAGAAAGAGGGATGAGAGGACGAGGATGCTGCGTGTACAAATAAAGATGTATATATTGAATCAGTCAGTACAGCTTTATATGGGAGTTGGTATCATTAAGGCAGCAACTCCCAAGGGACAGTTTCAGTAAGTGACCATTTATTTCCCAATTTTCATGTCTCTTTCTTCTTTGAAGGGTTTTCTTATTGTAAACTTATGTTCTTAATATATCTTAACATTAAACACCTTTATTAAGTAAATGATTGTGCTACTTGTGAGTAGTTAAAAGCAAAATAAAATAAAACTTGACAGATATCAGTCCTTAAATAACTAGAGACATTTTATAAATGATGTGTAGTGAGTGATCTGACTATACGGGTTTATGTGTAGAAAAGTTGAAGTGTTACAGGGTCTATATGGTGATTTTTTGACTAAATTACAACATTCCATGATCTGACCTTTGGTGTTGAATAATGAAAGCCTAACCTATGACAATTCTAAAGGGTAAATGGATTTGTGAGACTGATTCACACTGAACCAGAGAATTGAAATTCTCACCAGAGGACCCATTTGTCAAATTACAAATGGCTAATACCGCACAAGACATTCAGTCCGTGTGTCGGTGCCTGCGTGCATCTGTGCATGCAGGCACAGCTGTATGAACAGGTTGCTCACACTCATAAGATTGCATTTTAACTCTAAAATTATGACAAAAAGTAGTAGATTAAATCACATGTTTAATGGCATCAATCTGAGACCACATGATGCATCATTTACCCCTCCCATGAGGGTATAGTGTCTGGAATCTAAGGACTTCCTCTCTCAAATTCAGATATAGTCAAAGAGCGTGATCAGTAGACCAGCACACTGCTCTCCCTGTTATTGGGAGGAAATGAGTTCTTGCACTGTCACTACAAAAAGAATTTCCTGAGACCCACATAGGAGGATGAGGTTCTGTATTTTGGGATTATTGATGATGTAATTAAGGGGGATCCTCTCCATACTTGCCAGTGTTGCATCTCTCTCCATCTTGCCATGAAAAAGTCCACCTTTGTCCTCAGCAAAGCCAAGACAAAGGCCATTGTCCACAGTTTCTATTTCGTATTAAAGCTCACTCCTTTGGAGTCTGTAGGCGGCTTCTAACTGATCTCAGTCCCCATCTGGCTAGCTTAGCTGTGTTTCTAGCTGCAGTCTGTTGCAATGCTGTGTTATTCAGGTGAGGTGGGTGGAAAGAGAGAGAGAGAGAGAGAGAGATTCTTTATTCCTCTGGAATTTTATTAGTTTGGGCTTATACGGGCCATGTGCCTTTTCAAAATGACCAAATTAAATTCTCAAGTTTTGTGGGTTTTGGATAGGTTTACACCCCCTAGTTAGACTGACAGACCTCTTGGTCCAGTACCTCCCCCTGTGCACCCAACACACCAGCACAAGAACAGGAGAAGAGGAGTGTTAATGCCCTTGGCAGAGCACAGGGCTGTGGTCCCCTGGGGTGTGAAAAGCTGTAACTTCCTGGTGAAGCAAACAGGCTCATGCTGCCCAGTTTATTTACCTAAAGTCTACTTCCCTTTTGCTTTCCTTCCTCATAAATTATTGTCTAAGTAGTGATGGTAACACAAATTCCCAGAATGCAAAAGCCATTGGATACATTAATAAGTGCCTCAAAACCACCCTGATTTGCTTACTTATGTAATAAATTACCAGTTTCACATGTGAGCTCAGAAGTAATTTTTAATCTCCAAATTCTTAAAGCACCCTATTGAAATATCAGAATTTTAACTATAATATACACAAAGGGAACAATTTAGAAAAAAATGTTTGAAACATAATGAAGACTTTTACCTTTTTAAAGACTCAATGAAAACACATTTTAAAAAATGTACCTATTATGGGGAAATAAACAAAATAACAACAACAAAAAGATATGCATCATTTGTATCCCTCTCATCATTTTATTTATTTATGGAAGTAAAACAAGGAACAGACTGATGATGACCAGAGGGGCAGGGAGACGGGGATAACGAGGGACAGAAGGGAAAGGGACTGGCCAAGGAACACAAACAGAAGACTCCCAGGCATGGACCAGGCAGAGGACTGACTGTGGGCGTGAGGGGGCAGGTCAGGGGAGAGCAATGGGGAAAAGGTGGGACAACTGTAACTGAACAGCAATAAAAAAAACTGTTCTCACAACGTAACTGTGCTGAAACTTTGCCAATGCAAAGACTTTTAAATACAGCTTTTGTCTCCAGTAAGCATTTTCTCTTTGTTCTCATTTCTATTGAGGTATAATTGACATAAACCATTATATTAGTTTCAGATATACAACATAATGATCCAGTATTTGTGTATATCGCAATATAATCATAATAAGCCTAGATGACATTTATCATCATATATAATACAAATGATTTTTTAAAGATTGTATTTATTTATTTTTAGAGGGGGAAGGGAGGGAGAAAGAGAGGGAGAGAAATATCAATGTGTGGTTACATCTTGTATACCCCCCTACTAGGGGCCTGGCTCAAAATGTGTCCTGACTGGGAATCAAACCCAGGACCCTCTGCTTAACAGGCCAGCACTCAATCCATTAAGTCACACCAGCCAGGGCTAATTTTTTTCTCATAAAGAGAACTATTAAGTCCTACAAATTCACCAGCTTTCAAACATTCAATGCAGTGTTATCACTTATGGTCACCATGCTGTACATCATAACCCCATGGTTTATTTTATAACTGCTAGTTTGTATGTTTTAATCACCCTCATTCACTTTGTCCACTTGCTCCTTACACCTGCTTCTAGCAACCAATCTGTTCTCTGCATCTAAGAGATTGGTTTACATCTTGTTTTGTTTTTAGATTCCATGTGTAAGTGACGTCACACAGCATTTATCTTTCTCTGTGTTACCTCACTTGGCATAATGCCTTCACAGGTCACATCTATGCTGCCACAATGGCAAGATTTATTTTATTGGATGGTTGAATAATATGTAGTTTATTAAGTTAGTGTGTAGTTGTTATGTCTAAAAAAACCAACACTGTATGCAGTCAACAATATTGTAATATTAGAGTAACTGATGTATAGTGCCAGGTATTATTTACCTGAAATGTCAAGGGGATCACTTTGGAAAGTATATGATCATCTAACCACTATGCTGTATACCTGGAACTAATACAAAAATGCTAAATGCAAGCTGTAATTTAAATATAAAATTAAATAAATAAATTCAATTTTAAAATGAAAAAAATGTTAATAGATCCAGCACTTCCACTTTTAGGTGTTTAACCCAAGAAAGCACAACCACTAACTTGAAAAGATAACTGTACCCCCATTTTTACTGCAGCATCATTTACAGTGGCCAAGACATAGAAGCAACCTCAGTGTCCATTAATAGATGAATGGATAAGGGAAATGTGATATATATAATGAAATATTATTGTCATATGTATAATGAAATATTCTCATATACAACAAAACATTATTCAGTCATAATAAACATTTTCATATTTAGGTTAAAAAGTACTTATTTCATTTAATTTGAAATACAAGCAAGTACATTTTAATTTTAGTTTGCATACTGATGAGAATATTCAATGCTGTCAAGCTTTGGAGTTATGCAGATATCAATTTGGAGATAATCTGTATTCTATAAATGTTTCCATGTTTATAAAATTGTCGGTAAATAATTGTCATTTCTGTGTACCTGCATGCTTCATTAAATAAACCCATTATCCTGGTATGTAAAGCTGCCCTTGAAACAGACGCTGACTCAAAATTTCGTTTCAGATCATTCAGGTAGTCAGCGCTGCAGACCGGGATCTGTCCCCTGCTGGGCAGCGGTTCTCCTTCAGATTATCACCGGAAGCTGCCATCAAACCGAACTTCACGGTCCGTGACTTCAGAAGTAAGTTTAACCACATAAAAAGGTACCTGTTATCATGTAACATTGTAAAAGGACATAAAGGTAGAAATCAATGCTTTCTCTAAAAGCAGTCAAATTCATAAAAAATGGAAATCCATCTATGAGAATTAATAAATTCTACAGATACAATAAAGAATATAGTTAATCTATCCACACTGTATCTAATTAGGCAAATTCCATTCATAATGTGGATAGTCCTTTAATGAGTGTGATTTTAAAAAAAGGCTGTCTGGGAAATAGAATTTTTCTTTCTGTTTTATATAATCATTTGTTCCACATGCACATTTCTTATATATACAAATTGATGTTTTTTTAAAGATTTTATTTATTTATCTTCAGAGGGGAAGGGAAGGGGAGGGGGAGAGAAATATCAATGTGTGGTTGCCTCTTGTGCATCCCCTGCTGGGAACCGGCCTGCAACCCAGGCATGTGCTCTGACTGGGAATCAAACCAGGACTGCGTTTGGTTCGCAGGCCTCCACTCAATCCCCTGAGCTACACCAGCCAGGGCATAAATTGATAACTTTTAAATAACTGTTTTATTTGCATAACACATAGCACAGCACAAATTAAAACAAAGGCTATGCAATTAGAATGTCTACATAAATGGCAGACACTTAATACATTAAATTATACTAATATAAAGCTCATAGTATTTATATTAAATAAAATAATGTATGGACATCCTTGGACACAATGCCGAAAACTTTCACCTTCAAGAACGTTTTCCTACCCTCTTGCTGTCCTGTCCACACTTGACATTTCTACCACTACTACCGCTTCTGTCACCACCAGTCATGGCTGTCCTATCTACTACCATTGCAACCACTTCAAAAATAAAGTGACACGGAATTAGATACACTAAGGATAACTACTGCTTAGTGGTTCTGACTTTATTTGTTCTGTGACTTTCAGTATTTTATTTCCTCTGAGTTTCCATAGTCTAAAGAAATGGGAATTAATAACACCTGAGATTTTATGTAACAAACAGATCGCAATGACATGATGATGGTTATGATGATGGTGATAGATAAAGGTCATAGGATGTTCTGAGAAAACTTAGTTTGCTAAAAATACTGAGGGGAAAGAAATAAGAACGCCCATATTTTGTCCAAGAAGGAAATTTGGTAAGGTTTTCTGCATCATGTAATGAAATGTGAGGGGTAGCTACCAATGAATGAAACAGGGTCCAAAATCTGAAGGGCTGAATGAGTAGAGAGAATATATACATAATCATGAAAACTGGAGCACTTTCCAGAGTAGTGAATGATATTGGTAAATTTAAATTAGAGCAGCATACATAAAATACAGCTGTCTAAGGAAGACCAGACATGGTCACCCTCTAACTAAGCCATTTAAAGAGATTATAACTTAGATCAAAAGATCTGCAAATCCTTTAAAGCTTCCGGCAAGAGTACACTGTGTTCAGATTTACATTTAGGAACATTAGTTTGGATACAGAGTGAAAAATAGAGAAACATAAATTGCTTCTGATACTATTGCAAAATTAAGTGAGACAGTCTTAGTTTAGCGTAATGGGTGTGAGGAAAGAGGTAAGTGGGTAGAGGAGGAATTAACAGGGCTTAGAGCTAGATCATCTAGGTGTTATACATGATTATGGTAGAGAAGAAGACTAATTAGACTTTCAGATTACTGACAGGCAATTAGGTGGATAATTGCATCATTCAGGAACATAAGAATTGACTATTTGCCACCATCATAGCCTTGCTGAAGAACCTGTATCGAATTAATGGTGATAATATGAACCTGATCGCATTCTCATACATAGTGTTGTCTCACATCTGAACAGGTGCCACTCATAACCCTCTTACTATATTCTCTATTTTATCTTGTTATATTTATAACCGTAAGCCTTGTTTAAGTGGGTAGGAAGATTTTGTTACCTCACTGTTTCACATTTTATTTCTTGTTTTGTGATAGCATTGCTAAGCTATTTCTTTGGCAAATGGTATACACCATGCAAGGTTACCAACTGCAGTCCTCACACATATATTACAGCTTCAGACTTATTTATGTTCTTGTGCCCACAAGCACCTGACACCACTAATTTTCACTGGAGATATCACAATAGACATTTTAGTGTCTTGATATTTTGTTTCTTAATTTAAAAATATCCTCTATGTCATAACAAGATATTCTGCCCGTACCAAACCCCCTCTCATGATGTCAGGGTTTATCATCTTGGTGCTTCCTCCTAAAACGAATACACAGAAACTGCCTCTTATTCAGTTGCTGAAAGTAGCATCTACAAGTAACAAATAAAATATTATTAGAATAGTAATGTTTTTATGACTTTTTAAAACCTGATTCCAAAGTATCACATATGGCAATAGTAAACTAAATGTTAACATTTTTCCGAGAATAGAAAAATGTTTCTAGAAGTTATTTTAAAACACAGAAAAATTAAAAAGCTCTAAAAAACAAAAATTTCAGATCCATGTGTAAAAATAAAATGAATAAAGAAGAAATGTATGCAATAATTCCACTTACAGAAATATTAATTGAATTTATATAAAGTTAATTATTGTATTTCATTAGGTTATTCCAAATAAATATTGCTATTGTTGATTTTAGGAAAACTAAAAATACTTTTGCAATTAAAGTGTTATAATTCATGATGATGTTAAAATTTTTAATGAATCTTGGTGGTATTAACATATTTTATTTTCCTTTCCATGTTACTCTAATGTACAAAAGTTAAAGTGTATACATAGAGTTTGGAAGGCAAATCAAGTTTTAATCTGAAAGAGTAATTTGATATTTGCCATATTTTAATAATAGGTTCTAAGGTAAAATTTTTTATTTGCAAATTCATACTTGTAATAATTTGTTCTGCTAACATGTAAGAAAATATCCACTAAATTATTTTTCTCAATGGGATCTTGATGTCACATGAAATAAGTAAACACATATCTTGTTTTGTAAACTGTTCTGTATTTTTTCTAAATAGCTATTTTAATTATTATACAAGAGAAGATTAATGTTTCTTCTTTCCCTAAGGAATATTTTTATTTTATTTTGGCAGCTTCCATGATAAAAGAATTAAAATATGGATGTATTTCACTGATTTAAGAAGAGCTTCCCACTGTTAACAGACATCCATGTTGAGACAAAGTTCGTAGTAACAATCTTATCATTAATGTCATGTCTTATAGACAACACAGCTGGAATTGAAACCAGAAGAAATGGATACAGCCGGAGGCAGCAAGAATTGTATTTCCTCCCTGTTGTCGTAGAAGACAGTAGCTATCCTGTCCAGAGCAGCACAAACACAATGACTATTCGAGTTTGTAGGTGTGACTCTGATGGTACCATCCTGTCCTGTAATGTGGAAGCAATTTTTCTACCTGTAGGACTCAGCACTGGGGCTTTGATTGCAATCCTACTGTGCATTGTTATACTCCTAGGTTAGTTTCAATATTCATCGTCTCTCTATCTACTGTATGTCCTCAATGTACAACATAAATCAATGTTTCTTCACTGAGATGCCCTGTTTGCTTAGAAGGAAGATTTAGACTGAATTATATTTTTATTAAGTTAATTTTCTATTTCATACTTCTTGGTTATGCAGCATTAGGCATCATTGGAAATGCAAAAGTTTGCCCAAGCCTTAGGGGATTCCAAGTAATATCATTAGTGTAACTTGCTGCAATGAAATTTTCTATAACAAATATCCTATTTGCAGCAATGGTTTCTCCATTTATTTTACATCTTGGTAATTACTACTCCCTGAGCTATTACACATAACCTTTAAAAATGCACCCAATGAACAGAAGTTCTCAAATATCAGTTTAATAAATAAAGAAAAGAGGAAAGAAAAAGAAATACAAAGTAAAGAGACCTCTATTTTTTTCTGTTTAAACTGCCAGCCAGAAGCAACTTTTATTGTACTTTTCTTGCCTCTCTTCACATCAAAATTCTAACCATTCCTGCTGGAACAGCACAGACCACACTTAGATTTCTAGAAGCACACCAAATGAAATGGATTGAAGAGAATGTATTCTGAAACCTCTCTATGAGAATAAACACCATCCTATTTTAAGGGCTTCCCTCTGCCACAGTTCTGCTCAGCTGACTCCATTTACCTTATTAATTCATTACTAGAATCACAAGAGTAAAGAGAGCTTTTCTGGGTTTTTTTAAATCATTCTTTTACATTCAAACTGCAACAAATACATGATTTGACACTGTGGAATCAGTTTATGTATGCATGGTTATTATTTAACAAAAAAATCCTGACAAATATAGATACCTCCCTTTATATATTAGGATGTAAACCATGTAGTAATTCATGATATAAGAATTTGTGAAGAAAAATTGCTGGTCATAGGTTCATATGGGCTTCAAGGGTAAATTCTAGTCCAATTTGCATGATCAAGTCATCAATGCCACAAAAATAAACTTGGTGTGTAGAACAAAGTATTTTTATATACTTATTATTTGTAGTAAATTATATTTGGCATCTATTTTTGCTGATGATATAAACATTAAAATAGCAGATTCAAAATAATGTTCTCATATCTGAAATTGCATATGATCAATTAGGTGCTTAAATTCAAAACAATCATTTTTCTCTCATACTCCTCTTTTCTCTTAAAAGCCTTTGAGTTCTACAGTATTTGCATATTGACCTAGCATGACTTGGGATATTCTGGATGCTTTCCATTGGGCACTGGCCCTGTTACAATGTAGCAATTAATCTTGCTCAGGTCAATCTTATCGTGCATTGTCATCAGTACTTTTTCTTCCAAGTACTTACTGATTGTCCACAGTCCCTGCACTGGTCTAGCATTGTGAATTTGCTCCTGTACAGAGGTAAACATGGATATGGGGTCAGCTTAAATGTCTGTCCATTGCTTGACCTTCTTAACCAATCTCAGACACCTTTATATCTTCCACTTCATTCTTAGCCATTTTCACATTCTTTCTGAGGTGAGGGAAAGCATGAGAACCTTGCAGTGCCTGGATGACTTTCATGTGGCCTTCACACACGTGTATCTAGTTTCTCTCTCAATTGTGGCAACTCTAAAGCCATTTCACATGCAGAGCTTCTCTGTGCAGTTTCCAGTCTCTTATATACTCCTTGGGTAAACAAACAATAGCCTCTTTAGTTCGGAAATCTGACCAAACCCTGGGAGGAGTGCCAAATGACAAACATCTCTCCAAGGCCTACTGCGTAGGAGCTCTAGCTGTATCTCTTCCCTCTTTTCAATTCATCAAACTCTAATGTTGGAGGAAGAGGGAATGAGTGGGTTTTTATCCACACAGTCCTCTACTACTCCTGTAACCGAGTCTTTCAGTTTCTGCTGTGATAAATCAAACACACTTTGTCTTTCAACCCATTACTACCACCACTGTGGAGGAGAGGGGTATCTGACTATTTAAGTGCTGATTTCACCATTTGCATCTGTACCTACTTCCCCCCAGAAGTAAACACTATTTAGTGATGGCTGTGAGTCAACTAGAAACAAAGAGATATTCAATAATGAGAGTGAATAAATAAACTATTTTAAAATATTATTATGTCTAATGAAGGTAATGTGAATACTTGGCATTTGGTTTGGGAAATGTTTCAACATGGTAGAACACACATGTAAATATTTAGAGCTCTTAGTGGATGTGATTTATAAAACTAAGGCCCTTATATTATGTATTTTCTTCTCCCTTGCTTATTTATTGATTTTAAAAGTGATTGTTACATGAAGATTTGATTTTTTACATAAGAAACACATTGACAACACAATTGGGAAATGCAGGTGTAAATAATATCCCAAGTTACTTATGAGCTATAATATGTTTTATAAAGCTATAATATAGCTTAAAGTTGTATTAATGTTATACAACTCTCTGTATGCTTAGAACATTTTTTCTTTTTATAACTTTGATAAAACACTTTTATCAGACAGTAAAATATTTAAATATAATTTGTGTTAAATATATGGCTATAATTATTTGCTTTTGTGAATGATTTGGCTATGATTTCTTGTTAGTTGCAATTTCCAAATGAAGTTGAGTTTGGACAATGATAAAATGTAAACCTAGGTCTGATTCTTATTGATTATAGTACGTATACTTTGAAACTAATAAGATGTGTTTAAAGAACCTCAGTCAGCCCTGCTCAAATTTATTTTTATGAGGTAAAACTGATAGAATCTCAAACCACAATTTTTTTGTCTTCTTCCAGCCATAGTCGTGCTGTACGTCGCTCTGCGAAGGCAGAAGAAGAAAGACACCCTGATGACCTCTAAAGAAGACATCAGAGACAACGTCATCCATTATGATGACGAAGGCGGTGGGGAGGAGGACACCCAGGCCTTTGATATCGGCGCTCTGAGAAATCCAAAAGCGGTCGAAGAGAACAAAGTTCGCAGAGATATAAAGCCAGACTCGCTCTGCTTTCCTCGGCAGAGACCGCCAGTAGAAGATAACACAGACATAAGGGATTTCATTAATCAGAGGCTGCAGGAAAATGACGTGGACCCAACGGCCCCGCCCTACGACTCCTTGGCAACGTATGCATACGAAGGCAATGGCTCTGTCGCAGACTCGCTCAGCTCGATAGACTCGCTCACCACGGAGGCCGACCAGGACTACGACTACCTGACAGACTGGGGACCGCGCTTTAAAGTCTTGGCAGACATGTTCGGTGAAGAAGAGAGTTACAACCCTGATAAAGTCACTTAGGGGAGAAGTGACGACTAAGCCAACAAGAGAAATTTAAGGGGAAAAAAAAAACACACATGAAATATCACACATACACACACACAGGCACACACACCCCACAGGTTTTATGGGACAAGATTCCTTTGATTATCTGGTTTCTAGCAAGTTGCTATATTTATCATACTGTCAGATTTGGTTGATTCTGCCAACACAAGATCAATCCTATTATATGTCCTTGCTTGGTTCTGTTTTGTTATTTTGGAAACACACTGAGACAAGCTCAGGCCTATTTAATACAATTTACTGACATGACAACCTAGAATGAAGATAGCTATGTGGCATCACGGTGGAAGAGTGTTAGATTTTTCTTAATTCCACTAAAGTGCCTATTGAAACTCTCATCATTTAAAGTGGTGTACAGTGCACTCTGCTGTGATGGCGTTGCAGGATTCAGAGACACAGAGGACATAAAACAAAAGTCGTGTCTTTATATGTCGAGGAGCAATATCGACATGCTGACTTCTAATTCCTTTTGAGGACAAAAGAAGAATACTTTCTGAACTCCATATTCTTCTAATGCAAAGTTTTTAAAAATTGTATGCCAAAACATTTGTTTGTCCCACCCCTTCAAAAAATTGGACTAAATGTGATGATATCAAATTCAATATGTAAGTCCTGAATTTTAAAAGCAATGTTTGATCTTACCATTATTAGTTCATATTATACCCGTTAATTGAAGTGTTACTTTTTATTAAAAAATAAAATTTTGAAAAAACAAACCTTTAAAAAAATCCCTCTTTATAAAAAGAGGCCTCAGGGCTGAAATTCCACATTAAAATAAATTTTCGTTGTGTTTTAATACTGCCCTGGTGTGCGGAAGGTTGGTTTTAACAAGTGACCAGATCTTTGAAGTTTTTTTTTATCACAGAAAAAAACATTTAAGTTGTTTTTCCATTAAAACTTCTTTGGGGGAAAAAAGCATCATTAATTTAATCATGAATAAATATATGCATTATATAGCATCTCAGACTTTCTTACAATCTAGTTATTATTTGATAACCAAAGAAAATAAAATACATATCAAATAATACAGGATAGAGTATGATATACCTAAAAATTATTTGTTATACAATATTGTACAAAAAATAAGGATTGTTAGAAAATGCAAACCAATAACTCCTAAAATGAACACAAATGCAAAATCAGGCAGTTGATTTACTTAGTTTATTAACATGGACTTGAACTTTGTGATCATTGTTATTATATTAAATCTCAAAGTTGTTTTGTTACACTATCATCTACAATAATTTCAATATAAATTACCCCTACAACTCCTTTTGTAAAGAACTTTTACTGTTGAATGTGATACAGATTTCTAAAAATATTAGATTCTAAAACATACATGTAAACTACACTCATATATATTATTTTCAACTGAACTGTACACCAGTTAGAATTGTACTAAACAAACCAGGTAACCATAAAGTATGAGTACATTTTCTTAATATTACAAGTATACAAGTGGCTACTGAAATATTGAAAGTATATATAAGAAAAATAAAAGTTACTTATAGATCCATCCTGATTTATCTATAATATTTGGCTGTATTAAGAAATACTTATGAATACATTTATATTTGAAAGCTTGCAAAAGTAAAAATTCTCACATAAAGTAAATGGGTAGAAATGCAATATTAGAGACAACTTATATTTAGTCTTATCCTTTATTAAATGCTTATTTCAAAAATATATAACTAATAATTATGTTGTGGTGATGTAGCCATTTGAATCTGCATTTCCCTCTCTTTTTTTTTATGTCAAATACTCACCTTATTGCCTCTGTCGGGAACAATTTTTAACTGATTTTTATCCCTCACGACCTCAGCAAGACCTTTGTCTCACCCCTGAGAAAGGCATTAGAATTCTCCTACAGCCTAATAGTTTTCAGTATAGTTATACTTGGGAAAATGTTTATATATATTTTTAAAAGCTGCAGATATTATAAGCACACTAGAGAAAAAAGGCAACTTCTGATTTTTTCCTAGCGACACAATTTGATGTGTATCTCTGTCCAGAAGGTGAAAATGCAAGATCACTTTGGGCTGGCAAACTAGCTCTTGCCAGGAGTTACCTGCATTTTGCACCTTGTTAAGATTCTAACTTCTGTTGCACACAGTGACACAGCTGAATAATGGCATGAAGAAAACTTGGTTGGGGCAGGTCATTTTCAACCATAAGACTGCAATACTAAGTAAAAATACAAAGTTGGCGGGTCTTTTCTCCAAACCAGTAAGTCTTTTTTGGTATGTCCATCATTTACTTCTGTTACACCATCGCATTCCTTTCCTAAGGCTTCCATAACAGACTACTATGGACTGGGTGGCTTAAACAACAGAACTGTATTTCCTCACAGTTCTGGAAGGAAGAAGTCCAAGATCAAGGTGTCCACAGAGTTGGTTTCTTTTAAGGGATGCTCTCTTTGACTTGTCAATGGTCATCTTCTCTCTGCATCATGGTATTCCCAATATGCTAATTCTCATTCTTTTAAGAATATCAGTCATACGAAGTCTACTTACCTGATATCTTTTCAATTTAATTCATTCTCTAAGGGCCCTACCACCAAATACAGTCAATTCTGAGGTACTGGTGGTTTGGACTTCAAAATACACATTTTAGTGGTACATAATTTGGTCTATAATGACCACACAATGTTAACAGCAATTTTAAAGTATTGAATTTATAACAATGAAATAAATAAAGGTGGGGAAAAAACCTTGAATGAAAATAATGTCAGGTACAAGGGTGAACAAGAGAAGTATTACAGCAAAAAGGGGCTTCTGGTGCTCATAAATTGGAAGTATTATGGGATATCTAGTACAAAAGTACAAGACATAATGTTTTAATACTTATAATAATGTGCAGTTCTTCTCTTATTTAATATAATAACACAGCCATTGACCTTCAGTCAGGCATTACATAATATGAAAATGTTTGGAATTTGCATAAAAATATTGATCATTAACAATAGTTATACCATAATTTCTTTTTATTACATTGAATATTTAGTTTCACAGAAATTTGTTCATATATTGTATTTAATATGTGTATGTTTCTTATATATATATTTATAAAATGTAACCTTTAATTGTGCTCAAATACATATTCTATCAATACTTCAGAGTGAAACCGTGATATAACAGAAATAATCTAAAATTGCTTTTTACCAAATTCTGTCCTTAACTGGAAATGTGTGGGGGGCAAAAAATTTAGGCTCTCTCTTTTCTATTCTCTTGGTGAAATTAACTTGTTGTTCTTGGTATTATCTAAGTTTCCTCTGAAGCTTCTTGACTCTTAAAGTGTAGTTAGAATAACATGAAATTCATTAAACCATTTACATGGTGATTACACAAGAGTATGATAATCATAGAGATCTTCAAAACAAAATGTGAATAATAGTACAGCCAGGCAACTATTTTAAAGTCATATCTTTTGAAATACTTCAGTAACATTGAACAGTAGAGATATACATAGGGAGAGTGATAAAATACAGTGTTAAAACAAGTAGAGCTTAAATCTTGAGGCAAAGAGGAAAATAAGCAATATGAAGAAAAGATTGGAAGAATTATTTTTTCCTGTCTGAAAGAGGAAGAGATTTTAGAAATACCTTTACATTTCAATAATTTTGTTTTATAATGGGAAGTTTAAAAGCTGATGTATATATACACACATAATATATCAGATTTAGACCAAAAACTGACTGAAAAAAAGTTAATCGTTTGTAAGTAAGCAACATCAGTTTGCTTTAAAACTAAAAATAAAAAAATATATAGGTAGGAAAATAATTTTATAAACCTCTCTGGGTTTGAAAATTTCTCTTGTCTCTTCACCAGATTTAATAGTTTAGGCATACAATGTTCATTTAAAATTTTTATTTAATATTTTAAAGATTTTTTTATCCTGTCATATTCTAGCATCCAACTAGCTTGCGAAATATAATGAGGTATATATCACTCTTTCTTTTATATGTAATAAGATTGTTTACATAATGATATTCAGATTACTATTTCTCGGCGTTCTCAAACTTCACATTGATGTGTTAAGAGGAGTCTGATGTCATTTCCAGGACTATACTCAGGGAACGCTTGCAGGGTGCAGCCCTGTTTTCTTTGGTTTGGGAAGAGCTAGTATTTATTCTCCGATGAGTTTTTAATTTATTTTTTAATATTTTAACTTATTTATCTTTAGAGGGGAAGGAAAGGAGAGAGGTAGAGAAATATCAATGTATGGTTTCCTCTCATGCGTCCCCCTGCTGGGAACTGGCCTGAAACCCAGGCATGTGCCCTGACTGGGAATCAAACCACAATCCTCTCATTTGCAGGCCCGCGCTCAATCCACTGAGCTACGCCAGCCAGGGCTAATGGGTTTCTATCACGTGTTTTTCTTTTCAGTTCTTGAACAATGTTTAGTATTTGTTATTTTAATGTCCTAAATGTAGGTTAGTTGTATTATCATTTAACTATCACTTTCTATTTTATTCTGGTTTCATGATTATTTTATCTTTGCTAGTTTTCGTGATTTACCTTGTACTTATTAATTTATTTTTTTTAACTTTGGGAACTTTTTGTTGTATTATTCTGTTTTCTGTCTTTCCTGTTATTCTGATCTTGTGTTTTGGTAATTTGTCTTTTCATTCCCTTTAATGATGTTTCCTGATGCTTATATATATATATATATATATATATATATATATATATATATATATTGGGGTGACAGTAGTTAACAAGCTTATATAGGTTTCAAGTGTACTTTTATATGATAAACAATCTGTACATTGACTTGTGTGCCCACCACCCAAAGTCAAATAATTTTTCATCACCATTTACCCCTCACCCCATCCCTCTGATAACCATCATACCCTCAGCTATGTCTATGAGTTTTTTTTCTGTTTGTTTTTCTTGTTTGTTCATTTTTCTTTCAATTTTATGTCCTACATAAGAGTGAAATTTTATATATGGTTTATTTCTCTTAGCATGGTACTCTCAAAACCCATCCATGTTGTCCAAATGGCAATATTTCCTCTTCTTTTATCACTAAGTACTATTTGCAGTATATACATACCATGTCATCCTTACCCAATCATCTATCAAAGGACACTTGGGTTGTTTCCATGTTGCGGCCACTGTGAATAATGCTGCACTAAAGATAAGGGGACATATATCTTCACAAATAAATGTTTTCACATTTTTTAGTAGATACACAGAAGATAGATTATTCACTCATATGGTAAATGTATTCTTAACATTTTGAGGAATCTCCATACTGTTTTCTACAGTGGTTTTACCAGTCCACATGCCCACCAGCCATGAATGAATGCTCCTTTTTCTCCGCAACCTCTCAACACTTGTTACTTGTCTTGTTGATAATAGCCACTCTGGCATTTATGAGTTGCTATCTCATTGTCATTTTGATTTGCATTTACCTGCTAGTCAACCTGAGCATTGTTTCAGTATCTGTTGAACATTTACATGTCTTCTTGGGATAAGTTCCTGTTCAGGTCCTCTGCCCACTTTTAATTGCATTATTTATTTGGTGTTGCTTGTATGAGTTCTTTATATATTTTGGATATTAATCCCTTGCTCTTTTGAAAAGTTTATAATAATTTTTTTCTCTGAGTTATATGTTTCAAACACAACATGGGAAAAAAACAGATACAGATATTCATTTTAATTCATTCTATTTCAACTCATGTCTCATTCCAGTTCTCTGCCATATTTGATATGTCCAAATCCTGACACATTCCAGGATTGTGGAAGGAAAGCAAGTTCTCTCCTGTGCTACAGCACTGGTTTTCTACTCTGCAATTGTTATGCCTGGCTTTATTCAGCACTATGTCATTAGCCTTCCTCTAATTTATCCAACCTGCTTATTTGCTAATGGACAATAAGCCTTTTTCTTCATTGTGGACACACATTCACACGT